TAACCGTTCTACAAATGGGCAACTTTCAATAGTTGCCCATTTGTAGCACAACAGTATTTCATTTTTCCATTTTTTGTTTTGCAGTGGTGCCCAGCAGGACTGCAGACACAAAGGTGAGATCTGTATTCCTAACCAGGATGTCGTCCAAGTTCCATGAGCTGCCTGGGCCTGAACTCCTTGAGTAAAAATGCCAAACAAGGTGCAAGTGGCACAAAGTTGTCGTCGGATTTGTGAACAGAGAGATGACAGAGCAAGAAAATAAGGGGCAACTTTTTCTCCACTATTCTGCTCCGTATTTTTTGCCTTCTGTGGCTTTGATTCTATGTACAGTACTGTGCAAAACATTTTGTCAGTCTAAAAAAAAGATGCTCAAATGATCTTCATGTTGGTGAAAACTATGATATTATGTCTATCAGTTAGTTTTTGTTGTGTTATTTTCATGTGTTCATGTTAAACTGTCTAAGACTTTTGCACAGTACTGTATTTTTGATAGAATTTGGAATAATGACCAGTTTTCAGTTCAATAGAAACAATTTTTGTGAACAGGCCACCGTATAAAATGCAAGTATAGACATACTGATTAATTATTAAACATTTCACCTTAATCTGATTTGGTACAGTTCACACTTCAAACAGTTCACATCAGCTTGCAGCCTAATCATCCAGTCCTTTTGTTCAGGAGGCATGAAATGATGAATAAGTCATCAAATACTTATTACGCTGTTTTTTGTAAAAAGGACAAAGGATGGACACTTCTCCAAAAACCTGCCAACAAAGATTTTAAAAATTCAAAAGAAAATGTAAACCAATATCAGTCAAAAGATAGCTCGATAAAAGTTCTGAAGGGTTTTGAACTACTATAAAAACAATCCACTCACAAAAGTGACCCCCATCCAGGAAAAAAAAATCTTCACAGGCTTTTTACACAAATATTTCATATGACAGGGACTACTGTCAGCAATGAGCTTTAAATTTATCACTTTGAAATACTGTGAATAATATTCATTGTTACTATCTGGTGCATCAATATCACCAACTGTCCATCCATCCATCCATCCATCCTTCCTTCCTGCCATCTTCTAGCTGCTTATCCTGGTCAGGGTCGTGATGAGAAACCGTTCAGCCATCTGAAATGCTTGTTAGGGCTGTACTACTTTCCACACACTCACACTCATGCTTACTTCTTCAATGTCACTTTAATGCAATTTATGATGCAATTTCAAACTTAAAAGCTTAATTTTGATATTTCAAAATTATAACTTTTATAAAGTTGTGTTTTATGTGTTTGGGACATACGTACTAGTTCTTTTTTTCAATGTTAACAATTCTTGTGTGATCATTTTCCCCAAAGAAAAAAATATACATGCAAACACACCCATTGTGTCACGTAGACAATGGGCAGTTTATAACATTGTGGTTTCATGAACAGTCATCTCTGTTTAAGCTTTAAAAGACCTCATGGGATAAGCGGATACATCCAGTCCCACCACAAAACATCCACATGAACAGTATTTGGTCATACACACGCAAACACACCCATTCTTTTACTTTGAACATCGATCGCCCACCAAAAAAACTACCCAAACAGGAGGTTGGATGGGAAAATTTTAGACTGATCTTGACCTGGAAGTTTATGGCTGGTTTACAGATGTACACGTATACACACACACACACACACACACACACAGACACACACGTTTGTATCTACCCAGCTCTAACTGCAATCATACATAAGTAGCCAAACAAAATACAAGACTTTTGGCATTTTTAGTTTTTTAATTGCAGTCAGAGATTTTTATTAAATTGAGTTTCCCCTTGTGGGGAAAAAATGGCCCCCACAACGTCAAAATAACAGGTTTTTATCACATT